TGATGAAAACTCGATTTTTGCAAAACGGGGTGAAAACAATAACTTCCCGATTTTTGAAAATCTTCGATTTTCTTAGCGGGAAGTTAAAAAAGTTAACATCACATACTAAAACGGATTGGATTTTGATGTTTAAAATTGTCGCAATGTTTTTTGTGTTAGTTTATGTTCGGCGACGCTACAAAAAATCAGCTGTCTTCATATTATTTATCCATTTCAAATCATCTCCAGCCAAAACACACCCACTTTTTTTTATCATGAAAAATTTTCTCCAGATTGGGACTTCGAAATTTTTTGGCTGGTGTAAATCTGGGATTAATGATACACCGGAAAATGGTGTCTTTATGTCTAGTTATTTATCAGTTTTAGGCAGTTTATAGTTGATCTATACATAAATTTATGAATCGAATAATTATTCTATTTGACACTTGAGGAAAATTTTAAACTTTGGGACTTTGAAATTTTTGACGGTGTATACTCGGTGTATACTTTGGGTGAATTTGGCACATATACACTACATATATTTGGTGTATACTGAGCGTAAACGGATCCGCTAGGGATGTTGAAAACTTTATTCAGAATTTTTAAAGTATTTTTCCTAACTAAAGAAAAGTTGTGAGTTTTTTTAAAAAATAGCTTTTTTTCTAAGTATCCATAAATTTTTCAGAAATTAACCGATTGGGATGTTGTTTTTTTTGAAAATATGTTATTTAGTGTATTTTTTGAAAAAAAATTTGAAAAATTAAACTTGGTTTAATTTTACCGTTTTTTTAAACTTGCGGAAAAAAACGAAAATTTCGAGATTATTGTCATTCTTGATTTTCTTTTCCTTCATAAAAAAACTTGAGTATTTTTTTCAATTTCCCATCGTTAAAACACTGCCTCAACTCCGTCGATACCCCAAGGTTTAGTCGAGTTTCCTCGGAGTTTCGGCGGTGGCGATTAAACTGCTAGGAACCCAAAAAAAATGTTTATATATAATCATATATAATTGTATATAATCATATATTATTATATATAATCATATATAATTATACATGATTATATATGGAAATGTATATGAGGTTATATATAATCATATAATTATATATGACTATATATAGAGCAATATACAGCCAAGCAAGATTATATATAGTTATATATAAACATTTTTTCTCGGGAAGTTCACAAATCTCAGACAACGTGTTTCTCTACGAAAACTTAATAATTTTTTTTTTTTTTTTGATTTATTTAATAGTCGCATAAACAGTTATAAATAGTTATAAATTATATTTCAAGTACACATAGAAAATACTAAAGTGAATATTTTAAGCAGTTATACATGGTTAATTTAAAGATTTCAAATCATACTATAACTGGTGAACCAATAATTGTTAAATATTTGGACTACAATTTAGAAATTTTGACTAGATTATATTTTTGTGAAAATTTTTAATGACTTGAATGTTTTTATCACATCCTGGAGGTACTTCTCGTCGCTCAGGCACGTGGACAGGTCCATTGGGGCGGTGTTGAGTGGACATTCAGCCAGTATGTGGTGTACAGTTATTGGTGCGTTGCATTTTGGACATTTAGTATGGGTCTCTCGTGACATCAGGTAGTTGTAAGTAATATAGGTGTGACCTATTCTTAGGCGGGTGATTATGGTTTGGATTTTGCGATTTGATGACTTTGGAGGTATTTCCCATACATTAGCTCTTACTTGGTGTAAAAGTGAATCTGAGCTCATCCAATTTCCATTCCATTTGGCCCATATGTAGGCATTGACTACTTTTTTAAACTCGTCAGGTGTGGCTTGTTCATTTGTTGTTAAGGTACCTTCTGTTAGGGCTTTTTTTGCCGCCAGGTCTGCTTCTTCGTTGCCCTGGAGACCTTGATGAGATGGTAGCCATGCTAGTATCGTGTGGTATTGTCTGTCATTTAGTTGATGCAGTTTACTTTGAATTTTTATAATTCTGGGGTCTTTGTTAGTGGTATTTGAAATGGCGTCGAGTGCTGATTTTGAATCAGTTAAAATTATGGCTTTTTGGATGTTGTTCTCGATTATATGATCGATTGCTTTTTTGATTGCTATTACTTCGCAAGAAAAGATGTTAGTAAAGTCTGGTGGACGGTACATGAAAGTTTGGTCGTCATGGATAATTGCACAACCTTTTTTTCCATTTTTTACTGAGCCATCGGTGTATAGTTTACAGTATCCATTGTATTTATCATACATTTCTGTAGTGAGGTTGCTATAGGTTTGTTTAGTTGTGAGGTCTTTACTGAATGAATTATTGTATACATGGAGATCAATTAGGGGCTCAAACAGTTCCCATGGTGGAATTGGGTGTATCATACGCTTGTGGACTGCTATATTGGTGAACATTGGATCATTGATGATATTATTAAGTCGGTCGTATACTGGAAGGTAGTTTTTCTTCGTTTGTCTAATTTCTACTTGTATTGTTGTTGGATTTGAAGTGTGGAATGGATTATTTGAGTGACATGGGCTGTGGGCCATATATTTGAGAGTTAGTGCTGTTCTTCTCAGGTCTAATGGTAGTTCCTGGCTTTCAGCAAGGATGCTTAGTCTTGGACTGGTGCGAAAAGCACCAGTTGCTATTCTCAATGCCGTAGTTTGGATAGAGTCCAGCGGTTTAAGTGTGCTTTTAGTAGTTGACCCGTAGATTGTTGCTGCATAGTTCAGTTTCGAGCGGATCACTGCTTTGTATGTTGTAATTAGCACTTCTTTGGATACTCCACGGTTGTTTGCTGCTAGTGTTTTTAAAATATTAAGTCTTCTTTTACATTGGACATGGAGGTCTTGTACATAGGGTTTCCATGTAAGTTTAGGATCAAATGTAATTCCAAGCAGTTTCAGTCTAGTCGTTTTTGGGAGCTCAGTGTCCCCCAGTACGAGTTTTGTTATTGGAGTTTTTCTTAGTCTCGAGAATATCATGTATTCAGACTTCGAGGATGAGAATTTAAATCCTGTTAACTTACAGCATTCTGTTATTTTATTGAGGCCGTCCTGAAGAATTTCTATATTTGAATTGATTCCACCGGTGCATAGAAGAGAGATGTCGTCGGCAAACGCTCTGGTTTTGATAGGTTTAGGCATCATAGATATTATGGGGTTAAAAGCTATTAAGAAGAGTGTCACGCTTAAGACTGATCCTTGTGGGAAGCCGTTGGTTAGTTCTATCAGTTGGGAGAGAGTTGTTCCAATGCGTACTTGTATTTTTCTGTTGGTGAGGAAATTTTTTATAAAATGAATTATATGGCCATTAAACCCTTGTTCAATTAATAGCTCCATAACTCGATAGACCCAGGCCATGTCATACGCTTTTTCGATGTCGAGCGAGACCACTATTGCTTGTAGATTATTTGATAAGGCGTTACTGATGTCAGAGTGAATTTGGTTGAGGTGGTCTGAGGTAGATCTGAAGTTGCGGAATCCATATTGATCGCTGGATATGAAATCTTGCGCTTCTAAAGCCCATTTGAGCCGGCGGTTAATCATTTTTTCAAAGATTTTACATGTACAGCAAGTTAAAGAGATAGGGCGGTAGTTGGATGCGTTGAAGTGGTCTCTATTTGGCTTGGCTATTGGGATGACTATTGCTTGTTTCCAGATACTAGGGAATGTATGTGTTGTCCAGATTTTATTGTAGAGCTTCAGCAGGTATTGTAGGCCGTTTTCAGGTAGATTTTTTATCAGCGCTGTTGGTATATTGTCTGGTCCTGGAGTGTCTTTTTTACATTGACTAAGGGCTATTTTGAGGTCATTCATGTTGAACTCCTTATTTATTGATATCATGTATTGTTGTCTTGGCTCTTTATTGGTTGTAATTAGTTCGTCTATGGTAGTATTATTTTCTTTATTGTGTTTGTACTCAAAGAATTCCTCGGTATGGTTGTTGTCGCTGGAGTTATTAGCGAAGGTATTTGCTAAGATGTCAGCGATGTCCGAGCTTGTTGCGGTAATTTCATTGTTTCCATTTTTTAATGGTGTTACGTGGAATTTGGTTGTTTTACCTTGAAATTTTTTATAAAAA